TCTGCCACAGCCACCCGAATCCACCGGCGTGGAGGGAAAGCAGCAGAAACGTGTGGGAACCGCCGGGCACAGCTCGGTCCAGCGCGACTTCCTTCACAGGAGCCAGTCTGCCAAGCGCTGTTTTGGGAGACACTCTTAGGAACACATAATGAAGTGTCATTTTGGTTTTGCTGTATGCGAATCCCGCGCGTGCTTCTATTCCCGAGATGTGCAAACACCAGAAGGGCCGCACTCCCCCATGAGCGGCGGGCAGGGGAGCCCCTGCTTTGGGGGTGCAGGAGCCCCGGAACCTGCCGAAATGCACACTGGTTCGCTACCTGCCTCCTGTTTGGGGCGATAAGGAGGCTCTTCTGCCGATTCGCAGAGAATCGCCGCACGCCATCCCGTCCAGCCCCCGTCTGCCCCCACCTCGCGATTTTCCCCGTGACTTCCATCAGCGTCCAAGGCTCTGGGGGTTTATCCCACCCCACCTCACTCCTGGAAACAGCCGTCCCTCCCTCGATTTGTACCCTAGAGTAAGTTTCTCTTCTCAGAGAACCTTCTCCAAAGAGCCCGCACCCGGACTCAAACGACCCCAGCCATAGCCGCCACCAGTGACCCCTGGCCACCCTGGCGGCTCCAGCACCCAGCTCTGAGCGCTGGCCTCGGTCCCTCCAGGGAGGCCTGCCCCTGTCCCCGACGGCCCTTCCCTCCCCGCCACGAGGACAGACCCTGTGTCTTGTTTGCGAGGGATTCCCGGACACGAGACATAACTTCTCCTATCGGAAGCATGTCGCAGAACGAAAACCTCGGGGTTCCGTGTGCCACCTTCCACGCACACACTCGGCCCCCCAGATCTACTCAGGGCCACCGCTTGAGCCAAGCCCTCTCCTTCAGTGTCGTCACAGTTCCCGGTACAAACACACTCAGATACGTGTTTTGCACAAAGTGGACCAGAAGCAGCGGTAGAGAACCTCAACGTGCCGACGGCAAAGATCCGGCCGTGGTTTGTCCCCCCAGAGAGCAAGAATCCCGACACGGAGCCCAAGGTCGATGAAAGTGAGGAGGGG